TACCTTACATTCCTTCAACCCGGAAACATGACAACATTAAAGATGACTCTGAGGTACGTTTCAGAAGATTGTTAAATTATACTGTCTCAGTCAAAATGTGAAAGATTTTCTTTTCATATTGGAAAAATGATATATATGAAGGTTGCAGTTTTTTGGTCCTTGCTTCTGAAACAAACAGTTGTTTAACATTATTTCAGTTATTTTCTGTTCTTCCTTTCTAATACATGTACACTCCTTATCACCCCCAGGCCACCCATTCAAGTTTCATAACACTTGGTCCAGTTTAACAGTATAAGTCATTAACTATCCAGCTTCCTCTGGAATTTTGCAGATAAATAATATGCACTCAATTATAGAGAGTCCTTGTGGAAATAAAAGTAGAATACTGTTTGTATTTTTAGCTCTTTTGTAGGGGATCTTGCAGCATCTCTGCATACTAGTTATTCCCTGGAAGCACTTTGACAAATCCCAGTACACTTTAAATAACTCAAGGGACTTCAAAACAATTGCTTTTAAAATGCTTCTGGCATATTTAATGTACATAGGAAGCATTTTAGCAAGCATTACTAGCTTGGTTTCCCAGTTTCAGCAAAACGATCTTGTGTTCTCCACTTCCTCCATTACAATCCCTGTCACTGTCATTAATTCACACATGAGTGACTCCTGTTCTTAGATAGATTGTCGTGCCTCTGGTCAAATCTGTTTGAGAACTGTCCTAACATAAACACTAAGAATTGTATAGTCAGAGGCCCTGCCCTGGTCAGCACTGAAGTTTTATTGCATGGTGTTGCACAAATTTATAAGAATGCATCTGGGCCACTACTCTGATCAGCTGTCCCCAAGTAGGTTGTTCCTGTTTTTCCTACATTGCTGTTGCACACTACTAAATGTATTTAATATATCCTGCAAAGAAAGTGCGTCATGCTGGAAGCTGGATTGACTAGAAGCTTGATGCAATCTCTTCTAATAGCAGTCAATCCTAGCTAAATGCTCCTTATATAAACCTTTCCATAGTTCAGCAGAACCTTGATCTGGCTACAAGTACAGCAGTGTAGGTGACATCAAAACGGAAAACATAAAAAGGTGTCAAAGCATTATACATATTGGTAAAAAGAGGTATTGCTGCGGCACATACTTTACTTTGCTTTCTAAATCTGCCCTACCCTGTCTGTAAAATTGTGTGGTTTTATATTTAAAACCAGTAAATCTCCCTGTGAGATAAAATAGTTATTTTTGTCTCATTAAATAAAGCTGCAGTTGAAAGAACACAATCTACATTAACAAAAATCTTCCACAAAGTCCCACTTGAGAAATCTACATTTTCCTCTTCATTGTCTTGGGCAGAATACTTTTTTCCCCCTTGAGCTTTATCTATTAATGAGTCCAATTCATCAATAACAGATTTAACATTTAAAGATATACCCACTACCCTAAAATGTACATAAAGACACATATTTATATTTATTCAACAAGTGCTACCATAACCTAAATCAGTGTCTACAACAGTCTTGTTTCTTTTCTTCTCTTCCCTTCAGTCTCTGACAATTCTTTTATATTTCCATCACTACTTGAATTCTTAAATTTCACTAAAGCTTTAGTAACACACAAGAGCTGCGTAAACTCATGCCACGCTAGACATCCTTATCATCAGAGCATTGTTTCAGTTCCTTTCTTTCAACTTAAATTGTCTTAGAACATCTTTATTAATTTGTATTCTTATAATATATTATACTATATAAAATATATAGTATTCTTAGAATATAGACTTTTCCAGACTAGGCATAGAAGAGTTCATATGATGCTTATACAGCATTATGTTATGGTAACTAAAACCCTCTCTTTAGGTGTTGAAAAGAATTCATTTTCATAGATGACTTGGTGTTTCCATCCCCAACAGCTGGGCAGAAAATCTGAAGTTTGAAATACATAATGTTTAAGGATTCAGTGAGTCAGACATATCTCACTAGGTGAAAAATGGGGTTGCATACAGTTGGCATTGTTCTGATTTATCATCAGAAAAAGAACCTCCTGTGAAGATTTCTTTTTAATAAATCTAATTTTATCATCTTGGGATTTACATCTTAGAATTTATCTTGGCTAGGAAAAGTGGATACTTTTAGCCTTTTAAACTTAGCTGGCTAACTTTAGCTAGCTAGCCTTGACTTGAATTTGACCACTTTTCCTAGTCAAGTCTGATTCTGTGAGGGGCTTAGTTGGACTTTTGGGCTGGTAATCACAGAGACAAGGATTTCTTAGAGTGATATCTTTTATTGGAGCAACTGCATAGTTGCGATAGTGTTAGACAAGCTTTCAAATGAAAGGTATTCTTCTTTAGGTCTTGCATTCAAAATGTCTTGCATTCAAAAACTTGTTTAACCCTATCCCAACTATGCAGTTGTTTCAATAAAATATATCACTGTGACCATGTTCGGGCTCCAGGGGTGTCTGTGACGCCCCCTGGTGGCCACGCGACCCTTACCCTACCCCAGCTAGATAGTGCCCTCCCCCTCTTACTCACCTGCCATGTCTTGCTGTAATTGTTTGATTGGAAAGCAAGCTGCCTAATGGGTCCTAGCGTGAGCCCCAGTTCTTCCAGATGCCAGCTAGCTCTGCCCTGCTTTCAGTAGGTGGGCCCTGATGACCTGTCAGTGCCCTCATCCATGGTACCCCGTAGTCTTAAGGGTTAATCACAGCTTCTGACCACCCCTACAGTTGTGCCTGTGCTTTGCAGGTGTTACCAGTTAATGACTTTGGTGGGCAGATAACCCCAACCTGATAGCAGGCCACCTCAGGCATCTATACATTTGTCAGAGCCTCAGCCTTCCTGGCCTCAGCCCCTTTTCTCTTGCTGGTTCCCTTAGCCTAGACCCACTGTGCCTGACTTGGCTTCTGGGTTCCAGCCCTTGACTGCCTAATCTGGCTTTGTTTCTGCCCTGTCTTGGGCAATACACTTATTGAGCTTGCTTAGACTCTTGGGCCTCCCTAGCCTTCTTCTAGGCCCTTTTCATGCAGAGGACCCCCTGGCCCTGGCTCCACCCTTCCTGGGCACAGGGCCCTCTGGCCCTTGCCCATCTCTTCCCCAAGCTAGGCGTCAGTCTTTCTCTCTTCTTCTTTCTTGACTTTAAACTCTCCCTTCTGCTTAAGCCTATGGCATGCCCTGAATCAAGGCCTCTAGCATGCCCCTGGCACCTCACTGTGGGCTAAGCCACCATGCACCTCTCAGGTGCCCCACCATGGCCTCCACTCCCAAACCACTGGTTGAAACTAGCGAAGGAGTAAGCCTTCTGGCAAACACAAACTAAACCCTCCCTGGCTCCAAACATAAACAGTGGCTACCTGCCTGGATAACAAGGCCGGCCTCCTGTTACCCCAGGTAATATTCCCCTGTAGGGCATCGGCACTCTGTTCGCCTTCCTCAAGATAGCCCAGGTGCCAGCTAGGAGAGCTCCTGTATTCCCCTTGCTTTAGAGCTCTTGCCTCAGCAACCTCCAGGGTCAAACTGAGCCTCCTGACTCAGGTTCTCCCTGGCTGTGCCCCCTTCCGATCAGGTGCTTCCCTCAGCTGCCTCAACTTTTAAGGGAGGGACTTGCTGCTCTTGAGTGCGTGGCAGTTGATCCATTGTAACTATTACTTTTGTCTATTCCTTTCTCTTAGTAAATTGAGCTAAACCCTGGCGATTTAACTGTGTTCCATTCAAGTGAAAGCTGATTTAGTTTAACTTCCATTTACTCTAGAATGGGGGAAAACAGATGAAGCAGGTACAGTGACTGTGGTAAATTCCTCCCACATAAAATAATATAATTGCCTTTCTGTCCATGCCCTTAGTTCATAGATAATAGGCCTGCTACGGATTTGTTGGTCTTGTCCCACACAAGACTTCCTAGCTGGTTGTTTTCAATGCACAGCTCATCAGGTAATGGAAAATTGGCAAGCATCACCAAATAGAGTATTTCAGTTTAATAATCTTTTATATGGTGTAAGTCAGCTTCTAAGGAAAATTGTGTAGAATGGGGGATTGGCAACCTTTTGCTGTGGGCCAGAGCTTGCAATCCATCCCCCTGCTGCAGGCCACACATCTCTGTAACCCCTGTCCCCCCCTCCCCAAGTGCCCAAGCTGCCTGTGCTTTCCCTTGTTGCAAATACCTGGGTCCTCGTGAGAGAGCAGCAGGGAAGGCTGTGGAGGTGATGGGCAGCTCAAAGCAGTTGTGTTCTGCCCCGTTACTTGTGCTGCCTTGAGCTGGGTTGGATCTTTGTGGGCTGGATCCAACCTCTTCATGGGCCAAATCTAGCCCGCAGACCATAAGTTGCTCACCCTTTCAGTAGTTCACTTCTAGAATGTGAGAGCATTTAGAATTTACTGTGTTTAAATGCATGTAGCTTAAAAAGACAGGCTCAGCTAGCTATTACTTTGAAACAAACACAGTTCTTAATGGTATAATAACAAATAGGAAAATGATACTGAGGAAGTTTAAGGTATGCTTTTGCATTCTTGTACCTCTGACAGTGGCATGAAAACTAAGCAAATCTTGACTCTGTCCAGAGGTTAGACATCTCTACGGCAGCACTTCTTTGTTAGGGAGACTTCAGGGTTTTTTTAATGTATATCTTTCTTTCTCTATACAGGATATCAAGCCAGTTATCGATGGAATAGATGGAATTAAGATCTCTCAGGGGCTTGGACTGCAGGACTTCGACTTAATCAGAGTTATTGGACGTGGAAGCTATGCCAAAGTTCTTCTAGTACGGTTAAAAAAGAATGATCAAATTTATGCCATGAAAGTAGTGAAAAAAGAATTAGTCCATGACGATGAGGTAAAAATTTATGCTAAACTTGACTCAATTCCATATTTTAAAATTCTGCTTGTTAGTGTTACTTGTTCTAACTGGTTCACTAAGAAAGTAATTCTTTTAAAAATTTGATCATGTTTTTGGACAATTAGTGTGTTGTCATGAAAGTTTGACTGACTTGTAAAGTTGTGGGTAGCATCAGTTGTCTATATGCAGTGTGGCACAGTGATTTGCTTTGAGTAGAAATGTCCATTTTCTCCTAAACAAATAGACTGATTACTTAACACAATCTTAGAAAATCACAAATGACATTTGCTACTAAACCTGGACATATTCACCACATCTGTTCTTTTTGTACTAATTAGAGCAATGAATATTAACCTACTACTGAAAAAATAAAATATCTTCATATCAGTGTTAGCTTTGAGGCATGAAAAAAACTGATCTGTGGATGCTACACTTCATAACAGGAGTGAAACCATATTTTTTAAAGTTTGAAAGAAATAAGTAGCCTACAAGTGTACATGTACACATGAGTGTAGAAAGGAAGCACAAATAATACAAAACAAAAGATACAAATAATGTTTCTGTATAGTAAAGCACTGCAGGTTTTTGAAAGAGGCAACATCGACATCATTTTTTTGAATCACTTTAAAAGAAGTTCTGTAATATCTCTTCTGGGGGGCGTCCTTGAATTTGACTATGATCCTGAATGCAAAAATAGGTCTTTTCTTGACATTCTTTTAGATGTAGCTTCTAACTATAATCGATATACATTTTTTCAGATAGTAATGAAACTTTCAAGTCTACGGTCTTTTTCTCTACGTATGGCTGATGTAGATACAGAAGAATAGCTATAATTTTACATTAGGTGATTGAGCCAGACAATTGCGTCAGGACCAGCAGAGTGTATTACTTATATCTCCTTCATATTTGTGGATTGGGCACTAAGTCGTTATATGTTCTGTGGTCTGTTCTGGGTGACCAGTCGCACACTGGAGAGCTTTTAATTTTCCATTTGTGTATCTCCCATGGTTTGTGTGGATACAGTTTAGAGTTGCCCAAAGCCAGGAACCTTCTGCATTGGATCTATTGCAAGGTGTTTATCTGGAACTTCCTGTGAGCTCCATTAGGTTCCCAAGCTTCATCAGGGTTGAAGTTGCATTGTTGAAGGTTAAGTGCATGGATCAAGAAGGGCTTGCAAGACTTTGGTCAATGGTGAGGATTATTGTTGGGGATCTGGTAGATGGAGAGATGTTTGTTTTCTTTAATTTGCTGGACTTCCTATAGAGTTGCTGCCTCACAATAAATGGGTAGAGGAGTGGTGTGCAACAGCATGGGGAGCCAAGGTGTGGGGGCCAACTTGAGGTTTCCAGTGATACACAGCACGAGAGAGTTCAGGTGGTTATCAGTAAGTCGAGTGTGACTGCTTCTGGTCCATACCAGTGCACAATACTCAGCTACAGAGTATGCAAGGACCAGCATTGATGTCCATAATACTGGTGCTGATGCTCCCCAGCTTGTGCTTGCCAATATCTGGGCCAGATTGACCTGCATCTTCGTCTTGACAGGTTCTTACCTTCTTCAGGTGGTTGTGGAAGGTTAACTGGTGGTCCTGCTCCACTCCGAGATAAGATGGAGTGGGGTCATGCTGCACAGTGTTGCTGTGGAAAGTTACCTTCAGGGTATGCTTGAGATTCCTATTATCAAGATGGAAGCAGTGACTGTTGTTTTGCTGGGATTTGGCTCCATTTCCGAAAATATTCCTCCATGGTTTTCAGGTCCTTGTTCAAAGTCGACTCTGTCATTGAAGGTGGCTGCTTGTGTTGCCAAAGCAAGGTCATCTGCATATACACATTTGTGCAACTTTGTTGATGGCATATCGCTTGTGTACAGGTTTCCCTCACCAACCACAGTTTTGCCAACCACAGTTTTGAATATCCACACTTCAGAGAAGGGGGGATACAGTCTGAACCGAACCCCCCCCCCCAATGACCTCCCTTACCCTGCTCATGCCTCTTACTCCCTCCCACAGCCTTGCTGGTGCTCCTCACCCCCCACCCACAGCCCCTGCTCCCCCAGTCCTGCCAGTTTTGCCAACCACAGTTTTGCCAGCCACGGGAACTTTTAAGAACCTAACCCCTGTGGTTGGCGAGGGAAACCTGTATACATTAAAGAGCATTGATGTGAGAACTGAGCCTTCTGGCAGTCCATTACTGAGGAACCAGGGCGAACTGACTCTGTCACCCGTAGCCACCTATTACTCAGCATTGTCCATATCAGGCACAGTGTTTGGTAGTAGGGTATATACTTTGCAAGCTTCAGCATCAGACCTTTAACCCAGACCGTGCTGTAGGCTGATGACAGCTCTACAAAGGCTGCACCAGTCTTGGATTTTTTCTGAAAACCAGTTTCAGTATGCATTGCAAGGGCCAGAACTTGGTTGCAGCAACTTTGCTTAGGCTGGAATCCTGCTTGTTTCCTAGGGATCACTGGCTTGATAAAAGGACTGATTCTCTTGAGGATATGTTTCAAGAGTTTGTTGGTTGTGCAAAGTAGTGATACTGTCCTATAGTTTCCCATGTCAAAGCTTACCAGTTTGAGTATTACAGCGACCATCACCTCTTGCCATGCTTTTGGTGTGCATCTTGATCCCATGGTTTTCGTGTACAGTTTCACCAGCTATTGGAGTCCTTTGGGGCCTAGATGATGGAGGAATTCTGGGAGGATACTATCTCCACTGGCTGCCTTCCGTTTCTTCATTGCTGTTAACCCCTCCTTCACTTCATCTATGCTAAAAGTAGTAGGGGCTTGTATGGGGATTGATATTATCCAGTGTACTTGAAGATTAACCTCTTGTTTGATGTTTTTTGTCGAGAGGTCCATTTGTATTTTCTACTAATTTAGAAGCTATGGAGTTGGGATGGTGTTTTGTGGTCCAGTATTCAGCTGGATTAGCAGCTCCAAGGTATAATAAGGCCCAGGCAAGTCAACTAGAGTGTGAAGTTCAGACCTTCAACACACTCAATCTACCTTTGGCATCTGGCTAAATCTAGAGACTCTAGCAGGGCCTTCACAACCTGTGGGTTGCCTGACCAATTGTACAGTCAGAGCAGGTTGTGGGTCTGTTTAGTCCACTAGCAAGTATATTCCCCTGGAAGCCCCAGGGGATACTTTGCTTGGTGGCAGTAATCAGGAGGCTAGTGAACCAGTGATAAAATTCTGGTGTCTCAAAGATTTGGGTCACCGCTTTTTTTAACAGGTTTCCTGTAGCAGACCAAGTCAACTTTGGCTACGTTCCATCGTGGGATCTGTTTAAGCAAACTCGCAGGGATCCTGGTGCCAACATAAGTAATGATGGGACTATGTTGGCTGTTGGGGAAGTAGGGGAGTATATACATGGAGTATGCTCCTATTTAGATCATTGAGCATGATGGTGAGATCTGGGTTATTGCTAGTGAGCTGAGTGAAAGGCTGCTCACTGTTTGAGATCGAAGGCCAGTTGTAGACCATCTGTGAACATCCAGTCCATAAGGTCTTTGCTGTCAGCTTCATTTGCGTCATAACCCTGCATAGCATGGTGGCTGCTAAAGTCATCAGTGTACAGGGCTGGGATTGGTGCACTCGGGAGTGCTGGCTTCAGCCATTCCAAATTAGGGGCTTTGTATACATTGGTAATGTTCAACTCCCCTATTTTGATGGAAGTAGTGTAAGTGGCTTTTTCTTCAGTTGGGTGTAAGACATTGAAATCTGTGATGGTGTTCTTCACCTATATAGCTAGGCCATATTTCAGATGGTGTTTTCCACATATATATATAGCTAAGCCATATTTTGGATGGTAATGGCTAGTCGTAGGTTTCTTGTTATCCATGTATACAATAGCGGCTGGCCTGTTGGCCATTGGAGACATGAGTTTCTTGGAGCATAAGGACATCAATGTTATGCTTCTTCAGAATATTTGCAACATACTTGCACTTCATCCAGGGAAGTCCCTCAATGTTGCCTTGGAGGATCCTTGTTTCAGGACCTTTCCAGCATGTTACTTGGCCCTGAAAAGAGCTGTTGAATTGCTGTGCTGAAAGATCGGGAGATCAGTCATCAGGTTGATGGCATTAGTCATGATTTCTCACTTAATGGAGTAGGCCACATGAAGGCTGCCATCTTCCCCAAGTCTACAATGTCAGCCTACTTACTTCCTTCATCACTTGAAAAGTAGATATCAGAAAGGTGTTTTTGTTTTGTATTTTGTATCTTGAAAGAAATAAGACAAAGTACCACAGGGAAAAAAGTACCAATTGTGTTGGTTGCAATAACCAGCTGTGTACTAGGGCTGTGCAACGCTTTGGGTGGTGATTCGATTCGGAGGAGATTTGGCCCAGTTCAGTGGCCAAATCTCTGAATCAAATCGGGGACCAATTAAAAGGTCCGAATCGATTCAAAGCTCTCCAGATCTTCAGAAAAGATTTGGAGAGCTTTGATTCAGGCAGTCCCTGGTGGCTGCAGCAGGAAGCTGCAGCCGGACTCTGAGCTGGTAAGTAGGGGCAGGGTAGGGGACCATGGGGGTACCCCTGCCAGCCCCCAGCCCCCGCCTGCTCCTCCAGCTCCACCCCGCCCCCCACTGCGCCCGCACGGTACTTTAAAAAAAGCCCCGTTGCTCCCTGAGTGCTGCCGATTCGGGGGGGGGAAATCCCTTCTGCCCTCACGCCACGTGGGAGGCTTTGCACGAGCCCCCTGACCCATTGCCCCACTTCCTCAGCCTTGCCATGGGTGCCCTGACCAGGCCAGCTCTGGCCCTTTAAGGAAAAAAAAGCAAAACAGAAAAGCCCTGGGACTCACCACTCCTGCAGTGGCCTCAGGGCTTCAGGGGGCTCATGCAGAGCCCCCCATGTGGTGTGGGGCAGCAGGGATCACCCCCCGCCGGCAGGAACGGTGAGTGTGAGACTTTTCTTGGGTTTTTTTTTCCTTAAAGGGCTGGAGTTGGCCCAGGTGGGGCACCCATGGGGGGGCTGGTGGAATGAGGGGGAGTGAGGGGGGCTCGTGCAGAGCTTCCCATGCAGCGTGGGGCAGTAAGGGGCAGCAGGGATCGCCCCCCCAGCTGCACCTGGTGAGCCGGGACTTTTTTTTTTTCCTCCAAAGAGCCGGGAGCTGGGGCAGCCATTGCCGGGCTGGGGGAGCAGGCAGGAGACGGACCTGGTTGATTCAGCCGAACAGTAATTCGGATCACCAACTTGAATCACTGTCCCCCGAATTGGCAGAATCCGAAGCGAGTATTAGCCGCTTCGCACGGGCCTATTGTGTACCACCTGGTATACCTGTGACTCTTCTGGAGAATAGGCTACTATGACTCTTAATATTTATGCTGGCTCAGCTAAATGCTACAATCTTTCATGACCAGGAATTAAGATCCTTATTAAATTTTGTTTCTTATTTCTTCAAATGTTCTTCTCAGTAACTGGAAAAACTGGAGAATTTTTTTTGGTGAAATTTGCAGTTGTGCTTGAGGATTAGAGGTAGTTCAGAATTTTTCTTACTTTGAATTGTGTTTCCATTACATTATAACCCAGGGTCCTGGTTTTCACTGTTTAAAAATCTCTAATTCTCTGATTAAAACCCCCTAAATCTGCATTTTTCCATGATTAAAATGAAGTGTCACTATATATATAGGTATCAGTTTAACACAATATTTTATTGATATATTTACAATTTTAAAGCAGTTTGGCCCTTTGCTCACCAGGACATTGATCCAGCGGCAGTTGTCCCATCCCACTTCCCTTCCCCCACTTTGTGGTGTGGACCAGTTCTGTATGCCAGTACCCTGCCCATGCCATTGCCCCTTACTCCCAACCCACAGCCCTCCAGTCCTGCTGGTGCTCCTCAGCCCCCACCCACAGGCCCCCACCAGAGCTATGGGGCCAGGGACCCAGCCTGCAAGGGGAAACCCACAATTTCTCGCATTTTTCTCCTAAAATGAGAAAATCCAGTGTTTGACTGCTAAAGAAAATGAATTACTATGTTTTCCTTTTCTCAAATATTAGTAAATTTCACCCTACCATATCCCCCCCCCACCCCCCCATTTGTTAGTGCTTTAATAGGAGCACTTGCTTCATTAGGTAAGACTGAAGCAAATCAGAAATCTCACCATCTGTTCTAGAAAATGTAATCCCTGAATTAGTTGAATCTTATTTAATTAAAACTAAATTTAAATTAACTAAACGGAGATATCCCGTTAAATGTACATTGCCAAAGTAAAAATAATGTATATTTTAAAAAGTCTTAAATTGAGATTTTTACCAACATATCTTGGTTTACTAATGTGAAATACACCTTAAAAATTATATATTAAAAAAATCCTTTGCCTGTATGTCTGTCTGTGTAATGCTTTATTCGTACTCTGATTGGTAGTCTGAAACAACTAATCAGAGTGCTCCCAGAGCGTTTCAGACAGGAGGCGGTGGTGATGGAGCAGACAGGATTGGGTGGGGTGGGGGGAGGGTGCAGCACAATGTGGGGGGCCATTTGCTAGTATGATAAATATTTTTCTAATAAGAAAAATAACTTGCTTGTGAAGTTGAGAACATTTGCTTGAGAACTCTCCCCCCACCCCCTGCCTTGTAATTTACTTTGCCTCAACCTAGGCCAGTGACAGACGTTACAAAGATGTGATGGGATCTGATGTACAATCCCAATAATTGGGCCTCCTGCCATATCACATGTGTATGGTAGGAGGTGTGATGGTGGGATTGAGCAGAAGATCCCATCACACCATATTGCTGGTGCAGGGCAGCCTGGGATTATGATCCAGGGCTCCCTCTGCACTGGTAATCTTTTTTCCTGTGGCTAGGAGTTCTGTCAGTCGACAGAGCCCCCAGTCACGGGATCATGGTATGCCCCCATGGCTGGGAGCTCCAGTCAGCTGATGGGGCTTCCAGCCACAGGGTGTGCCATGGGCCCTCATGGCAGGGAGCTCCAAACACTGTCAGGGCTTCCACTTGAGAGAGTACTTGGCACTGGGAGCTCCGAACACTGATAGGAGCCCTGGCAGTTACTTGAGCCACTAGCCACGGGGCATACCAAGTGTCCTGTGTTTGGGAACCTCAGCAGTGTTTGGAGCTCCCAGCTGCAGGGGCCCATACTGCACTGCTGCAGGGGGGGAGACCCTGCACCCTTGCACCTGGGAACTCCAATCACTGCCAGGGCTTCTTGACACAAGGCACACCTTGCACTCTCACAGCTGGGTATGCTCAAAGTGTTCAGAGCTCCCAGACACAGTGTACATCACGCTCATGGGTCATGGCGTGAGGTGCAGCCAGACTGAGAGCCCATCAGGTGTGTGACTCGGTCCCTGCTGGGTGTGTGGCATCACCAGGACTGAGAACCCCATGTGGGCCCAGGGGTTTCACATGCTCAATCCTTGATGGTTACAGCAGCTTCAGTCCCCAGGAATCAGGGATTTCACATTGGGCATGGTGCACCCCTGAGGTGGGAGCCTTGTCAGCTGACGGGGCTCACAGCCTTAGGGAAGACCCTGTTTAGATGTACAAATTAAAGCTCAATGCCAACCAGCTAAAAAGTTACTACACATTTTGAAGTCTAACTTAATAGCTGGTTGAAGCTTTTTATTGTGCAATGGCTACCTTGCATGTCTGGCTGGTCTTAAGGTAATTGTACAGTTAACCCAGGGGTGGGCAAAATATGACCTGCGGGCTGGATACGGCCCGTGGAGGGTCTTTGTCTGGCCCATGGCAGGTCCCTTCAGTCCCACCTGACCCAGGCACCATCTGGCTGTGATGTGTCCTGCCGCCCCCTGGGCACACAGCGGGGCTGGAGCGACTCTCCAGCTAGATTGCCTTTCTAGACAGTCAGGAGGCGGTGGCTCCTGGCTGCCGTTGCCACTGTCTCCAGCCCTGTGGTACTGGTGGGGACTCGGGCATGTAGCCCCACCCTGCCCCGTGCTTGCTTCAGCGCTGAGCATTAGCGATGGCCAGGCAGAAACCGTTGCTCAGTGTGGGGGGGAAAGCAGCCTCTCCCCCTCACTGCTGCCGGACCCTTCCTGCTGCAGCTGCCCAGAGCCCATGCTGGGCAGCCCAGAGGTAGCGGTGATGACAGCAGAGACTCAGGGCAGCCCAGGACAGGCTCCAGGTGGCTACAGCAGGAAGGGCCCCGGTGGGACACCCATGCCTAGAAAGGCAGTCCAGCCACAGAGCCTACCTCAGCCCCACTGCGTGCCCAAGGGGCTGCAGGACACACCATGGGCAGAGAGCGCCTGGGTCAGATGGGACTGAGGGACCTGCCACGGGCCAGACAAAGACCCTCCATGGGCTGGAAGGAGCCGCTGCTGCCTGGGCTGCCTAAAAAGGAACCGCCCCAACCCTGCTGCATGCCCAGGGGATGGCAGGACGCACCATGGGTGGGTGGTGTGGACCAGGTGCACAGCGGTTTGAGGTCGGGGCTGTGTATGTGGGTTCCGGCTGATCTGATCCAGCCAGAGTGAGTCCACCAGCTCAGGGAGGCACATGTAAGGGGCTCCCATGCACATCCCGCCATATCCACAGACCTTCCCCCGCAAACCCCACAACCACACCTCCCCCACACACGCAATCACACACCCCACAGACACCGCACCCACCCACACACCCCACATATACCCCCCCACACACACTGCCGACCACCCTCCCCACAACACACACATCCCCACAAACGCACCGCCCACAGGTCCCCCATACCCACCCACCCACATACACACACAATACAATATACAATATACAGGAGTAAGACTTCATTTTGAGATATTATGCAATCATCTCTGTATATGCAGTGCAAACACACACAAATCAGGACAAATATATATTTTTAAATAAAATTAAAATATGTTATTGTCAATATTTGATTTTTAGTATATCTGTTGTTTTTCCAGTTCCAAGATGGCAAACCCCCTTCCAAAAAAGAATATTTCTAGGGCAAGGAGAGGGATTTCTGATGGCATAGGTTAGGGGGCAGGACATCTGGTGACCAGGGGGCAGGGCTACCCTTTTTGCCCTTGGTAGCTCACTAAAACTTGTTAAGCGTTGCTCTGGCTGAAATAATTGCCTGCCCCTGAATTAACCAGTTAATTGTGCAGTACCTGTAACATATAGAGGGGGCCTCATTGTGTTAGATCCAAAGCTAAGCAAGTATTGGCAACTCCAGCTGAGTTCATGTCGAGTTTTTGTCATGGTACAAATGAAGATGCAAGGTTCTAGGGATGTTAGTCATAACAGAGCAGGGGATTTACACTGTTCTGTTCCTGATACAAGAGATCTTGCTGAGAGAAGCACTTTTTTCAGGACCCAAAGCTTGTTTTTACTCTTCTTAGTTCTATTAACTAATCTTAACTATGTTAGATGTTTCACAACCTCTTTTAAACTGTGGTGATCCTTCTGAATGGTTATGTAACCCATGAAAAGTAACTAAATAAATCAAAATGTTTTTATGACTTTCTCTAGACCAAAGTTATTTTCTTCTTTTATGAAGAATATTTGCAACAGTGACACACGATATGTAAAGGAATATTAAAGTTCACAGTTTATTTTCTGCAGGGCTGTTGGTTGTAGCCATGTTGGTCTAAGTACATAGGCAGGCAAGGTTCGTTGGGTAGATGTGATACCTTTTTTTAGACCAGCTAAGTGGTTGGAAAAAATATTCTTTTCAGGCTTTCAGCGTTTGTGACCGAAAGCTTGCAAAGAACGTCTTTTCCAACTATTCAGTTGGTCTTATATAAAATATCACATCTACACAAAGAACCTTGCCTGCAATTTATTTTCTAGAATTTATACCTACAGTTTATTCAGTAGAAGTTCTGATTCTCCAATTACTCTATTTCAGGATATTGATTGGGTACAGACTGAGAAACATGTGTTTGAACAGGCATCCAGTAACCCATTCCTAGTTGGTTTACATTCATGCTTTCAAACGACAAGTCGGTAAGAAAGATGTATATTTTGTGGATATTGCCTGTATGTATGTGTATCAATACAGAATTTATGGGGTTAAGTTGCTTAAATGGATAAATAAATATGAATAAGAGTATCTTCATAAAAAAAGAAAGAAAGAAAGAAAGGAACGGGACGTCCGTTATTTGAGCCATTTTTGTAAACTCTGGCTTAAGAATGTATCTCTTGAGTTTTCTTCACATCTAATATGTTTAAGCTGGGCTCATGGGCTGGATCTGGCCCACAGCTGAGGGGTCAATGGCATATGGCAGCAGCAGCCACAGGAAGAGCACTCCCAGGGTCCTTCTGCCTGCTGCATGCAGGTTGTCTCAGTGCATTTCTGTGCCATGTTCCAACTCATGACACCCCACTTCATGTACAGTTCCTGGTAATGCCCTACCTGCTCTCTACTCTCACCACTGAATTTTTCCCTCAACATGGCCATCAGCCACAGATATTCGCAGCCCTTGATAGTGATGGTAAATGGAGGCCGTGGGGGGAGTGTGCTAGAGAGTAGGGAGTGCCAAAGTAGTAGATTGGTGGCCCACCATACATAAATAGTTGCCAACCCCTGGCTTAAGCAGTAAAATACAGAAAAATAACCCATCTCAGATTATGCATATAAAAAGGTACTAATATTTAAAAGCAATTAAGCATTTATTGACTGCTTACTCAGATGAACTGAAGTCCTTTTTCAGTCTGTGCTTTTTTTCTTGGATGCCAGAGTGATGAAAGTATAAAAATATTCATTAATAAATAATGACTATATATAGGTCAGATATACTTCTTTATTAGTGGTTCTCAACCTTTTTGGACTCAAGGCACCCTTCATTAGGCTCGAGGCAAGGACAGTCCTGAGCCTGTTCTTATCTGCTTAGTGTATCTGATAATCTCCTCACGTCTCACTTATGCCCTTGCATCTTGTGGCACCCTTCAAAGCATCTGGCAGCACTCCAGGGTTCCATGCACCTTGGTGGAGAATCATTGATCGATATGTATTAAAATGTCTTTTAGTTGTCCAGATTATTTATACAGCAAATTTCTCTTTTGTAATTCATATTGGTAGGTATCATGTGCTTCTTAAAAAGTGTTGTATTTTGTACTAAGATGCATCCAAATGTGCTTTATTGACAAATAAGTCAATTGAATAATATAGCAGCATTTGGTTTTAGATTAAAAGAATAAATGGGCAAATTATTAGAATATTGTAAAGTCTAGATGTATTCTAAAACAAAAAAAATCAAAACTTTCTAAAAAGCACATGTATGAATGTTCAGTAGGCTGGGTTTTCTTGTGCTTATTTTTCAGTGGAGCAGTTTAATAATTCTTCCTTCTAACGGTCTCAAAGCACAATGAGAACAATAACCAACAGCCATGTTCACTTTCTGAACTGGTTCACACAGTAACAAGTTTTTCAAAACTAAGTAACTGAAGTTCCTGTAACTGTTCACTTGCTTAAAAAGCAATAAACCTGAATTTTTTTTTTAAGATAGCATTTTGTGGATATATTTTAGCCTGACTTATGTACATATCTAATAAAAAGAAGCACCCATCCTTTGTTCCCAAGGTACCTTCACAATTTTTAAATATAGAGCCATGACACATATCAATCTTGCAATCCCTCTGCCTCACCACCCACTATTAATCCATATCATATGTTCACAGCAACCAGCAATAACCCAGCAGCAAATAAAGGTTGGATATTCCCTTCCTACCATAACATTCTCATTTTCTCTTAGTAGGAATAAATTATCTCTACAAAATGCCCTGACGGTCATTAACTAGGGTTGTTATGACCAGGGAGAAGAAATGAGCTCCAAAGCTGACCTGGAAAAAAATTAATAAAAATGGTGTTTTTACAGCTTTATAACTTACAAAAAAAGGACCTAAAGGATATATATATATATTTTTTTTTTTTTAATTTCTGATTGCCCTTATTTTAGAAATGTCAGGAATATGAGTACCATCCTCCCTTGATTGTTATGCTTAAGAGTTTTCTGGATGTCTGAGGGACGTATTGACAGGACAGGTCATCTGAGTTAAATGGTCACAAAAATAAACAGTGTTTATTATTTTAAATATTTCGTTTTCAAATCCAAGCCCCTTTCTTTTCTAATCTTACCATTGTGTTATAATTTTGTCATTTCACTAATACCAAGTTTTAATTATACCTGTCTTAGACCTGAAAGTCTAATTTAAAAAACAAAAAGGAAGGAAGAGAGGGCAGACTTTATAAAGAAAAAGAAAAATGTTTTGGTTTTGGATTGGTTGAGTTTTGTTAGTTTTTCAACCTATACTGTAAGAAAAAACTTACAATTTGGGTCATGACAAATTAACTTTTGTTCAAGTACCTCAAACGATTTTAATTTGGTTTGGACTTTATCTGTCTCTTGAACTTGACCTTAGTTAACATTTTAAACGTAATATATAGTTGTTTAAGAGGGTAGTCTCTGGGTGGTATAAATGGACTCTTCTGTATCTGTGCTTTACCAGTCTTACAATTGGGTAAGCATCAAGAGAGACATTTTCCAAATAGGTGTGATGAGAGAATGGTAAAGAGAGGCATTCTTAAATCATGTAAAAATTGGGAACATAAGGAAAAGCTGCTTCTCAGACAGCTTCAGCTTTCATAAAAAGCACTTTCTCAAAATGTTTCGAAACTGAAGGTCTCTTTGACCTTGGCAACTTTGCCTGGATCACATTTTCCCACAGATGAAATGTTCCCTCTAGAATGTAATGTCTTTTCATATGGCTGATCATTCCACTTATATGCTGTATCCTACCTAATGCATTTTATCTTGTTTGTTGAGGAGACATTTTTAAAACTCCTTCTAAAGCACTTTCTCAAAATGTTTCGAAACTGAAGGTCTCTTTGACCTTGGCAACTTTGCCTGGATCACATTTTCCCACAGATGAAATGTTCCCTCTAGAATGTAATGTCTTTTCATATGGCTGATCATTCCACTTATATGCTGTATCCTACCTAATGCATTTTATCTTGTTTGTTGAGGAGACATTTTTAAAACTCCTTCTATAAAGCAGCCAATAAGCCCAGATACTGAA